AAACCGCATCATCGCACGGGCAGCCCGTGCGTTGGCCAATTATTTCAGAATTACGATGACGAAGATGTTGAAAGGTTCGGAGCAAACTATTTGACCACGCGAAGCTATAAACCTTTCCTCATCATCCACTGTCTTAAAGAAGATTCTGCATGAGATGAGAACTGAAATATTCACAAGCATGAGTTTACTGCCTACAGGGCTAAAAACTGAAATCTTTCATCATTCTGCTAACGGCTTCTTGGTCTGTATCAAGATTTAGGCGATAGTTCGAGGAATGAGACATGAGAGAAGAAAATAATTAGTTCCAGTGAACGATCCAGCCACTAACCTTAATGGCATCCGGGTTGCATGCATTTAGTATTAGTTGATCCTTTCTCTTCACCATCAAATCATGTTGCTGCTGTTGTTGTTGTTGTCGTTGTTGTTGCTGTTGTTGCTGTTGTTGTAATTGTGGATGGAGAGGGCCAGTAAATGGAGCAGACTGGAAATGACCTGAAACAGTCCAATTGTCTTAACCGATGGTTTTCTTTTGCCTTGCCTCTGATTCATATCAGCAGCTCATCCAACTGCTATTTCGTTTTTCTGCTCCTGCTTCGACACTTAGAAACCAAAAGAAATGGATATGGTGTAAAAACAACTTTGAAGTTATGTTATTTCTCCGACCAGTTCACTTTGAAAATTCTCCAAAAAACGTGAGTTTTACCGGCTCATTAATTTTACCAACGAAGTCCAAAAAATGGTAAAAAACATGGATGAGACTTTAAGGATCATCTCATATCACTGCTCTCCCATTTTTTTTCTTTACCTTCCAGAAATATTACAAAATTTGAATTTGGCAAGACCACCAATATAGGCATAGGCGAGTAACGCTGACGAGCATAGCGCGTAAGAAAGTAATATCACTTTCAAGGTTTATTGATTTCACCAGTGCAACCAGCCATCTTGCTCTACACTTCTTTCGTTTGTTTCGATGGTACCGGAACAAATGAATGGATCCTAGTGAGATGCTACGAAGTCGAAACCGTCATCTGTTTATTTCCAAAAAAAACCTGGAAAAAGGAAGTCACCGACAGCCTTGTCGGTGGTTGCTGTTGGCATTTGCTATCACTCGGGCTATTTCTGAATACCTACTCCTCATGTTAAGTTAATGTGCAAACGAAGTTTTAACTTTTGACTAACAGGCACAGGAATCCAAAAATGCATATTTTCAAATTTTATCAACAAAATCCGACAAGCGATAGGATCAGAAGTGTTGCTTTTTTCCGGCTTTATTTTATTGGGTGCCACAATACATTTAAAAAACAATATCTTTGCATCAGTACAGACATTCGCGCGTGCCTCTCCTCAAACTGCCATCTTAGACTTGTTATAGGCGTAAGTCCTAAGTTGTAGGCGGAAAAAAAGCACTAGAGTTGTTCTAGATCGCTTATTTCGAAATTCCAGTATTTGAATTTGTGATTCTCTCCCTTCAACATTTTGGATTTATAGTCCTTGAAGGTGCGTAGTTCCAAATAAAAAATTTTATTTTCCTATTTTTTTATAAAAATCTTGATGTTGGTTCATCTGCAAACAGATGTGCACACATGCAGGTAGGAGCAC